AAAATGATAGCTGGAATCAATAAAGAACAAAATTGATACCAACAGACAAAAACCGAAATAACAAAAAAAAAAAAAAAAAAACATCAAACTTTCATAAGACAATTTTTCTTTCTTTCCTTCCTTCCTTCTTCATTTCTGCACTACTACTAATACTACTACTCACTTATATTTCCTTTCTTCAGAACTTTTTTTCATCATTTGCTCCCATTTAATGCCTAATTTTAGACACCTCCACCACCTTTGTCTGTGATTGTCAAAGATAAATCATGCCAATCAAAAGAAAAAAGAGCATTAAATAATTAATGTGCAAATAATAAAGATAAAAATACTCAAAGAGGTGGTTCATTGACAGTACATATCCCTCCAATATATATATATATATACAATCTTTTATATATATAGAGCACATACTTTGACGAGCATATTAACAACAACAACAAGAAAAATAAAAAAAAAACACCATACAAGGGTCACAACCCCTTCACCACCATCACAATAGATCCATCATAAAAACTATCCAAAATTTGAGAAAAGAGCGAGTTAAACGAAAAAAAAAAATAATAATAATAATAATAATAATAATAATAATTTTTCACATATACGATAAACAATCATCCATTCCCTCTTCTTCCTCCCTCTCTAACTCTTCTTTTCGATTTCGTCTGCTTTTCTTTTTCTTCTTTTCCTCCTCCTCTAGAAGAGACATGGCAAAGGCTCGCACAATGCTCACATCATTACTGGTAAAATTCAACGCCGTATTTCCATCACGACGGGCCACAGTTAAAGAGGAGGAAGAGGAAGAGGAAGATGATGGTGGTAGTGGTGGTACACTCGCCTGTGAATATATATCCCTATACTTCTTCTCATCCTCTTTTTCTTTTTCCTCATTATCTCTCAATCCCACACTCCTGAGAGGTTGAGGTGCAGAAAAAATAGAAGCGGCAGAGGCAAAACAGGCACGCGTAAACCGAGACATGGCAGAGCTGTGGCAGAATCGCGAGCCGAGATCTGCAGAGTAGAGATGTTGTGCCCGCACACCTTCACTCGCCCGTTTCTTCGCATTTGAAAGTTCATCCTCGAAGTCTTCACCGTCATCTTCTGTGTTGCACTCCACGGAAGAGACGGGGGAGTCGCCAGGGGCACCCCAACCCATATCACTGCAGAAATCAGAAACCGCCGCTGCTCCACCAGCAACACTTGAGGATATTGTTTGTCTACTTCTGCATCGCCCTGTTTTTCCAGCAAGAACAGTATTAGTAGTAGTAGTAGTAGTAGTAGTAGTATTTGTAGTAGTAATTGTATTTGTATTTATTATTGTATTTGTAGTGTATCCAGCGGGTTGTGATGTCTCCTCACATCCACGTTTTGATTTTCGCCACTGTTGAGTTTGTTGTTGTTGTTGTTGAGATGCGCAGACCCCTTCCAATGGGGTAAACAACAACGCTGGTGTTGCTTCTATAGTAGTTACTGGCTGTACATTAGGCTTTTCAGCGTTGCCGAGAGTTGAACAGCACAACTCGGTCTGAAAGAAGGTTTCATTTTCAATTGATCCTCCTTCCTGAGGACGTACAAAAGCACCTGGTTCAGGTACACGAGAATCCATCTCGTCTAGATATAGTAGTTGTTGTGATTGCATTTATCGATTATTGTTTCGAGTTGTTGTTTGTTTTTTTTCTTCTTTTTCTTTTTTCCTTCTCGTTTTAATATTGTTATTGGTTCCAGTTACTTGGTGATATCGCACTAGATATATATATATATATATATATATATATATATATTAGTTACCCAACGCTTTGTATGAGAGTTGGGCAGAAGAAATATAAATCAGGACACGATGGAATAGTCCGAAAGTATAAACGCCAAAGAAACAAGCAAAGCACTAAGTTTGTATGAAGTAAAACCAACAAGGAACTTTCTCTCTCTCTCTCTCTCTCTCTCTCTCTTTGACCCACACAAAGAAAAAAATCACTACACAGACTCTTTTCTTTTTTCTGTCTTACTTTACCTTTATAGTTCCCCCTACAATTGTGAGGTGCTTCTCTGTTTGTATGCACTTCTCCCTATAGTTAACAGATATATAAGGCAGAGTAAAATTAAAAAGAAAAGAAAAAAAAGAAAAAATGGAAAAATGGGGAAAAAATCAACAGGAAAAGAACAACTCATCAAAGTGAGGATAAATGTATATATGTATACATATAAAGGAAACACAATAAGACATCAAAGGGAAACAAGACACCATAAATAAATATATATATATATATATAT